TGCTCTGGCTCAGCTCCTGGGTGTCAGTCAGGGCGCAGAGGGAGACCTTGCTCAGAAAGCTGGCTCCCCCGGAAAGAAATAGAGTCGACTGTAGTCAGAAATTGTTTCTCTTCCCCCCCTTTTTTTTAGTAGGGGGAGGGGGCACTTGGCAGCCTGTGGGGCCCCTTCTGGCCGCCAGCCCCACATCTCTTCCTGGCTGTTGGGAGGCAGGGCAGGAGAGGAGATTGGGGAGAAGGGGCAGGGCCTGGCTGGCCTCCAGCTGTAGGGCAGGAGAATTGGCCCACGGGCCCCCCGTTCAGTTGGCCTGAGCGGAGCAGAGCCTGGGGTTTCTAATTAGTGGATGGGTATAGGTGTGTCAACCTGTGTTTCATTCAAGGAGCTGAGTCCTGGGAGGCGGGAAGCCCGGGAGGGAGGGCCTCAGAGCCCAGGAAGGCCTCAGCAAGTTGGGGAGGTGGGACTGGGGCGGGGGGGCTTAGCGTGTTGAACCCCTGAAAGGAGTCAAGGAGGTGGGGCCTTCTTGCTGGAGGGATCTGAGCTGGATTGTGGGCTGCAGTGAGCAAAGGGTCTGCCCCAAGGGGTAAAGGACAAAATAATGGTAATTAAAGTGCTTTCTTCTAGACATCATCTATTTTGACCAAAGTGCCCATAGGGTTTTTTTGGTTTTGTTTTTTCCAGCTCTGTCTTAGCCTCAGGATTCTCCCCACTTGACAGATGAAGAAATCGAGTCTGCATTCCGGTTCCAGTGCCGAGCAAGGCAAGCACAGACCGGAGTGGAGTCTGGGTCTCCAGATGCTCAGCCCAGGGCCCCATTCCCTCAGACTCACGCATGCAAAGCAGCTGCGAATTATATATTGCTGCTGGAAAAGCTCCTTTGCCCTAGGAGCTGGTAATTAAGGCATAACTTCTCAAAAATATTCCTTTATGCAGCTCCCCAGGAAGTTTCTTTCGGGGCTATTGTCTTGACTTCTGGATGGAGGTGCCAAGTTGCCTCTGGATGGTGCAGTTGCTTTCTAAAGTGCCTGAGGCCAAGATAAAATGAAAATGGCCGTCCCCTGGTCCCTGCCTCAGCAGCTGCCTGATAAGGCTGGGTAGTTTCTATAGCAACAGTGGCAGGAGGTGTGGCAGTCAGGAGGAAGGTGAGCCAGGTTGGGATGGGTGTACGGGATCAGAAAGGCTTTCCAGGTGGGGTGGGGTGGGCTGGTATCTGACTGGCAACTTCCCTCCCAGGGAAGACAAGGTCCCATGATGAGGGGACGAGGTGACAGGGAACAGAAGGAATAAAGCCCTGGGGTTAAAAGCTTCCAGTTGAGTCTTGCCCTAGATGACGCCAATGACCAGACACCATCCTGGCTGGTTAAGAGTTATGAAGCCGAACAACCTGGATTTGTGTTGGCTTTGCCATTGACGACGTGACTTGGCGCAGTTGACCTTGAACACTATGGCTTTTTTTTTTTTATGGTCAAGGTGAGAGGAGATAAGAAATTATCAACCTCATGTGATTGATGATAAAAAAGTTCTGTACACAAAGCGCTTAGCACAGAAACTCTGATAATCAGATGATGTAATATCGGTTCTCCTTCCTTCCTTCCTCTAACCTCAACACACAGAACAGAAGGAGAAGTCCTGTTTTCCCGTGTTTTCTGATTTGCCAAGTGTATTAAGATCAGGGACTGAAGGATCCAGTTCAGAGGAATGGCTTCTTCTGTGGGGTGTGGCTTCCTTGGATGGCAGCCCTTGACTTTGGAAAGTCCAAAATGGGGTTAGTGGTAGAGGGTTTTCCAGTGGGCAGTCCTGGCCTTTGATGCCACAGTCACTCATGGTTCTACCAGTGGTTGAGAGCATGGCCCGTTTATGCCCCAGAGGTGAGGATTCTCCCTTGAAGCTCTGCGGGTTGTGTCTGGTTCTGTTTGCTGCCTCCCAGCCAAGAGAGCAGAACCAAGGAAGAACCCAGATGTGATGCCATCTTCTATCAGACACAATTAGTGAACTTTTAGTTGAAGAAAAAGAAAAGCACGGTGACCTATTTAAAGACACTTATTTATATTCAGGACACTTCTTGTGCTGGTTTTGAGAGTGTGGCAGGCAATCCTGGACATCTTCACAGGTTTTTAGTTTCTGTTTGCACCCTCTGGGTTCAGTTTGTCAGGCCCGCAGTCTCTGGGAACAGTTGGGGATGGAGAAGAGGTGGGCGGAAGGAAGGGGAGGGTGGGAGGAGACGGGTGGGTAGGACCCAGTCTCTCTCACTCTGGGAGTTGGTCTGTGGGGTCATAGCCTCGGAACGGAGTGTAGGGACAGTTGTTTTGAATGTGGGTCCCAGGAGAGGGAAGCGTCTTTTCTCTCTTCACCTCCTTATTTCATTTGCTGACTGCTTTTTTTTTTTAAACTCCTGGTCTCGCTGCTGTGGGGCCTGGATGGTGAGGGAGAGGCCAGAAAAGTGAGAATGAAATACAACACGATACTCCAGGCTGGAGAGCGGTGAGATGGTCTTCGGGGAGTCAGCTGTCCTGATGTTTACACACAGATTGAGCGCATACCGCGTGCAGGGTGCGAGAATGTAAAGACGTCGTTGTCCTGCTACTGGTAACCATGCTTTTTCATCCTGGAGGGGAGCTAGAGAAGCATTTCATTTTATTTAAAACAATTTTTTTTAAGATTTTATTTTATTCTTTTAAGTCATCTCTGTACCCAACGTGGAGCTCGAACTCACGACTCTAAGATTAAGAGTAGTGCACTTCACCGGCTGAGCCATTTACCAGATGCCCCAACAGAAGCATTTTAAAAAGTTGAATATTAACAATGAAGAAACTAAATCAGTAGAGGTGTATATACATTTAGTGCAAGTAAACGGGGCAGTTCTTTTAGCCTTTTGACCAAGGCTTTTGGGAAGTTCTCAAGGTGAAATAATGAGAGCCCTTGCTGGTGAATAGAGTCACAGAAGGAAGAGAATCAGGTTTGACGGGTATCTCCTTCCGACTCAGAAGAAGAAGGCACCATCTCGTTCTTCCAGAAAAGCAAATGGAGCGCACCAAATGTCCTTCCTGCCCTCCTTTCATTTTTTCATACTTTTCTTTAAAGCGCTGTGGAAGTGAAGGCCAAATTTGCATCTTCAAGAAGCTCCATCCTTTGGAGGAAGAAGAGAAAGCAGGGACCCAGGCTTTTTGCCAGTGCACTCTGGTTAGGGAGCTGTGAGGGAAGCTGAGTCAAATAAAAGAGTGCTTTGCCCAGGGATGCCTTCATAGTCTCGGTCCAGTGGCCTTTGGACACTTGGAAGCCATATTGTCCTTCCTCCTTGAAAGGTTCCTCCTAAACTCTACTGGAGCAAGTCTGCAGTTCTTTCCCATCTGCAATATGTTACCTGGTTTAGTCCTTCCCGTGGAACTCTTGGGTGGCTTCTACCCTGGATCGCTCCTGTTTCAGTTTAAGGCTCTTACCTCTCTGGGCCTCAAGGACCTGGAACAGGTGCCTCTCTTCCACTGGGCATGACTGGCCCTTGGGCACCTGCACCACGCCACACCTGTGGGCACCCCCAGTGCCCTGCAGGCGGTGCCGGGATAAGCTCGTCCCCTTGGCTTTCCATTCTCAGACCTGCACCATCTTGATTTCTTTGTTGTCCTCTCTTTGACCCTGTGACTGTCTTCCCTTCTCCTTTGGGTCTTTGCTCTGACTCATTTCCCAGTTCTTCATGCCACAGAGACCTGGCCAGGAGCCCAGGGTCAGTTTCTGGCAGGCAGGTGACCCTGGTGACACCACGCTGGCCTCAGAGTGCCAGTGAAGTTGGCCATGTCACTCATGTTCGGCCCTCTTGCACCCCAGTGGGCTTTCAGAGGCACCCCAAGTTTACTGATACCCCTACTTGGCAAGGAGAGGGAGGAGTGAGTGTGATGAGGGAAGTGACTTTTAAAAGAAAATGGTTGCAGTGTGCCTGCTGGCTCAGTGGATCGTGCAGCTCTTGATCCCTGGGTTGTGGGTTTGAGCCCCACGTTGGCTATAGAGATTCGGATTACTTAAAAATAAAATCTTTAAAAAAATAAAATGGCAAAAATGCAGACAAGTAATAGGAATCATGCAATAACACCAGTCTGCCCCCCAGAACTGGGAGTGGTGGACATTTTGTCCTGTTGGCTTCACGTCTCTTTAACCGACTGAACCACCCAGGCGTTCCAGCTTCACGTCTCTTTAAAAAAATGTTTCCCGATGGCCTTCCCTACCAGCCTCTTGTTGCTGTCCCTTGTCCCCAGAGGCAGCCACCAGCATGCATTTCTTCGTGTTTCTGTTCCTTGGCCAAACAGATTTGTCAATAGATGGCCAACATCTAGAGTTGTTCTCTGAAACTAAGTTACATGTGCAAAAAGGTCTCATTTCTGCAACTTTTTCCCTCTGTCAATATTAGGTCTGGAGATCTGTTCATGTTGGATAGATCACAGGAGTGATCACAGGTCTGAGCAATTCTTGTCAACTGCTGTGTATTATTCCACTGTATTGACCCTACTGAATTTATTTCTCTCTTCACCTGCTGAAAGGCTTCTGGGTCGGGTTGCCGGTCGTGTTTTGCCATTGCAGTAATGCTGTAACGCACATTGTGCACATGTCGGGAAGATGTAGAGTTGCTGGGTCAGGCACATTCTTCCTGTTCCTGTAGCTCCTGCCCCGACTTTGCACCGAAGCACACACTCTACTCCTTTGGGCTTTCCGCGGTTAGGTCACCTTGCCAGGTTCTTGGACGGCTTTAGTTGAGCCAGAGGAGACACGTTTGGGACCCGTGGAAAGGGGTGAAAGCTGATAGTGCTGTTTGCCCTCTTGCTTTCAATTTCTCTGGCTCTTCAAGGACAGCCTGGCTCACAGAGTCCCAGGGGACCTTGGCTGAATTTGAGCCTGTTTTTGTTTTCTCAAACGGTGTGCCTCAGCGCTGACCCGCCCCAGGTCTTTGTGATTCCAGGAATGACCCTGGTGTTTATAAAGCAGCCCATTAGAGAGCACACAGGCAGGGAAGCTCTGTAGAGGCTGTGCTTTCTGCTCACTCAGGGGGAGCCCGAGAGGAGACGGCGTTGTGAAGGCATGCTCTAGAAATCTCCATGATGCCTGGCCAAGAAAGCGCCCCCTGTGTGCATCCAAGCATGCATATGTGTCTGTTTATGAACCCATGAGTCTACGGATGGAAAGAGCTCTCGAGGCTGTATCTTCCCAGAGTGTGTATGTGACGTCCTATCTCTTGAAAAGAAGGGTCATCTTTCTCCCATCACCAGGAAGTTCCTCAGCAAACTGAGGCAGGAGAGTGAGAAACGCAGAGGAATGGGGTCTCGGAAATGCTAGAGCTTGGAGGGGGTTGTTAAAAATCCAGAGTCCTTGACCTTTGCCCAGGCTTGCTGTGAACCCCAGGGGGCTGGAGTCCAGGACCAAGATCTTCAGATGATTTCTGATAAATAGTCATGACAGGGCACCGTTCCCCTAATGTAACTGCCTGAATTTATAGATGAGCATGTTGAACCCTACACATCTTGACCATGCAAGCTCTTTTTTTTTTTTTTTTTTTTAATAAGTAATCTCTGCATCCAGCGTGGGGCTTGAACTCATGCCTCAGAGATCGAGACTCACGTGCTCTACCAACTGAGCCTGCCAGGTGCCCCCATATATTGAAGCCTACACGTCTTAAACCCCTGTCGGGCATCACTCAGAATCCTGGGCAGGGTGCTAGCATCGGGATCAGAACCTTGCACACACACACCCCACCCTGGCTTTCAGACCAGCACTTTTCTTCCTGCTGGGCTAGAACTAGTTGGCCAAAGTTTTGAACCCAAGAGCTGGCGTTCTGAAGGGAACCCAGAAAGAGTTCAGGGTGGCTTGGCCAGCAGTGGGCTCAATGCCCTGCTTTCGTGCATCATCTCTAGTGGCATCCATTCCTTCCCTGCGTGAGCGTGGCCACTGGCCATTCCCCTCCCCGGAGTTTCAGGGCTCAGCCACAGCTCACTGGGCGCTAGGCCTGCCACTGTTCCAAGTGCAGGATGACGATGCCCAGGTGAGAGTGACCAGTGCCCGCCCCTGTGGGACACAGCCTGGATGACGCCTGGATCGGGAACATCTGAAGAGGCTGCTCACAGCTATTTCCTACAACAAGGGGATTCCTTTTGTGCGAAAGCCACGCTGAGGGGCTCCTGGTCTGTTGCCAAGAGGGTTTCTCGCCGAACGTGGTGGCATCTGAGAGCCATCAGGTTTGTTTTGCTGGCGCTGTGCACGGAGCAGGGCCTCCGAGGGTGGGAGAGAATGGGAAGGGAGCTGGATGTCAGCAGGGGGTAGATGGGCTGACCAGGAGAACGTCATTCCCGGAGCTGGAATGTGCCCTGGGTGCCAGCCTCCACCACAGCAGACGTCCATGTGCGCACTCTTCAGAATTCCCCCGTGAGAGGCCTGTGTGGCCTGCCGTCTCTGACCTTTAGAAGAAAGGGTGGAGGGAGACACATAAACAAGGCCACTTACCCAGAGAGACAAAGGACCTCAGCAGAAAAATACCAAAGAAGCTCCCCTTGCTTCCCCACCCACTGTTAACTGCTGCCTGCCTCCCTCCCCCCACTTCCCACGTGGCCTGAATTATCCACCCCAGCCTCGGTGGCCTGTGTTACTGCGCATGGGGGCCACAGTCAGCCATCCAAAGGCACTGGCTTCAAATTCTCTTCAACGAAAGCTGGGTCCCTTGCGTGTTGGTGAGTACTGACAAGCCTTCTCTCCCCTGCGCATGCGTGGTCGTTATGAGCCCCTTCCCCTCCCTCCCTCTCTCCCTCCTTCCCTTCCTCTCCTTCCTTCCCCAAAATTCTGTGAAGTTAAAGTAATTTAGGCAAATCCACGCTTACCCAAGGACTTCCATCAGATGGCAGAGACCTGTGATGTTTAGCGACATCCAGAATTTATACGATCAACAACATCAGGCTTTGGAAGGAACATGCCGATAGACGGTATTGCAGAACTTTCTCATAACTCATTTTCCCCCTATGCGTGTGGCCGTCCTACAGATGGGGTCTCATCCACCCTTGCCTGGTGCATGTATCTTCCATTTACCCAATTTAAGAAATAGATCACCAGTCTGCACATTTCTTCCGGAGCTTGATTTTTGCCCACACTGGGCAAGTGGTAATGATAAGTCGTAGCCCTCGCTTGAGTAGGATGATTATTCACGTTTTTCACACTGGAGAAGTGAGTTCAGAAAGGTGAAAGGATTTGGCCAATGTCACGGGTGAAGCAGAAGCAACAATGCGGGGAGGCCTCTTGACTCCTGGAGTTCTTTGCCCGTTTGGCTTTTTTAATGAATTGTCCACTGCCATATGGATGTTAACGGAGAAGTTGTCCAAGAGGGAAGAGGAAGATGGGAGTTAGCATTAATTCTTTTGCCCAACATGTGTCAAGATTAAGTGCACTTGGGGAGAAACCAACAGAGCAGGAGCCACGTGAGTTCTGTGCCCAGCGAGAGTGGAACCGGGCAGGTGGCCAGCCTCCTGCTGGCCCATTGCTCGGAAGGGAATCCCATTCTTACGGGGTCTGGAATGCCGGTACCTGTGGAAGGAGGTGAATCCACAGGAGGGAATGACAGATTCGGGGTCAGAGTAGATTGATTCTGTGGGGCCCCCAGCTCTTAGATTTCCAGATTGTCAGGAAGTAGGCTAAGGAGAAGGTGGGAAATGGCTAGGTTTTCTTCAGAATAAAGACAAGAAGAAAGCAGGGGGGCATAGTCATCTGCTAGGAAGATGTGGCATGTTCTGGGGGAAAGGTCCCTTTTCTTGCCAGGCCTGCATAAGGACAGAGCCTCAGTCACACTCTAAGCAAGAAGGAGTAAGGGGTTGCCTTTAGATTTGGGGGACCTATTTTCCTAAGAGGACTTTGAGGTTTTCCGTGGATCAGGAATCACCGACTGTCCATTGGAGCACAGAGGTCAGAGCATTGCACTAGGAGGAAATGTGGTGTCACAAGAGTAAGAATCCGTCGAACACAAGGGTTTTCATGCACTGAGTCAGGTCGTCGGTGCTACGATCCAACAAGATGATGTCAGGGAAAAAAAGGCTAAGCCAAAATTAAATTTGAAAACCAGGGTATTAACGCGTAGTCCGGAATGCAGAATGAAGGTGCAAAGCTCTTTCTCCTGGAGCGGTAGCTTCCAGCTGCCCTCCGGGGCCACCTAGTAAGGCTGGGTCAGAGGACAACGTCGGGACCCCGTGCCCATTGTGAAGCACCTCTGTTGATGGCACAACGTAGGGACCCCATGCCCATTGTGAAGCACCTCTGTTGATGGCACAGGGGTGGTACGTGCTCCTCTAGACCGGGTAGTAGTCCTTCTGGGCCTCGGGTTTGCTGTCTGTAAAATGGGGCAACTCGTCCCTTGCCTCTCGTCCTTGCCTTTCTCAGCTGAGCTCCCCTCCAGGTGCCTGAGGTTGAGAGGTGTGGCAGTATACATAGCACGCAGGACGGGAGTTCTCACGCTCCAGGCCCTCTGTGGTCTCCCCCACTTGTCTTTGGAAAAGCTTTACCTTCCATATATAGTCAGCAAACTCCGTGCTTCAGTGTTGAACCATTTCCTGGGGCGCTATGTAGAGAACAGCTAATCCTTAGGCGAAGATCTCTGGGGACCCAGGAGGTCATCTCTAAGCCCTAAGCCTTTTCTAGTTATGAGATTTGGGCTGCTAAGAACCATTTCTTAGACTGACCTTTGCCCTGTGGCCCACGGAGCTGCATACATAAGTGGTTGCATAATAAATATTCTGAACCTCACTCTTGGGCAGGAAAAAAACAGGCGACTTGGTATTTTTGTTCTGAGGGCAAATTCCATCTCTAGTTGGAGTTCTTCATTTGGAATGTTTTCCTTTGTACCGCTCCTGTCACCTATAGGAGAATGTATGGGAAGCACTGGGTAATAATATGGTGATGCCCTTGTGCCCCTGAGTGTCGGGCTGCCGCGTGGGTACTTCCCCCGAGTGTGGGGGGAAGTGGGAGCCCTTGAGAGCTGGCTCTGTGTGCTCCTTCCGTGTGCCTGGCCCTGTGTCTGCGTGCAGCATCTCTGGGAATCTGGCTGCCCCCTGGAAGTGGGTGCTGTTTGTCCATGATTTATAGATGAGCATTGGAGACACAGCTTAAGTAACGTATCTGCGGCTGCACAGCTAAGTGGACACCTGGGATTCAGGCGATTAGACATTGGAGCCTGAATTCTTGAGCCTCTCTGGCTGGGAATAGAAGAGTCAAGGAATCAAGGCTTTTCTCAGTCTGCAAGCTTGTCTGATCTCTACCCAGGCAGCTGTCTCAGTCCCTTCCCTGGGCTTGGACCTCAAGGTGTGGAGCGTCAGCATGTGCGTCAGCAAACCGGACCCATGGATTTCTTCATCTTATTGCCATGTTCATTGGCAGTGTTGGGATCAATAACGGAATGGGACAAAACCTAGCCTGGAATCCAGGTGGCCTCCGTGAGGGTGGACAAACTGACCTTTACTTCAGAGAGATCGGGGCTATCTCAGGATAGGAAGCCAACTCTGTCCTCCTGGGAGCAGACTGCCCCATGGGCCCCCATCTTCTGGGGCCTGGCGCAGGGCTGTGTTCAGACTGTGGACCCTGGACGCCTGGGCGTTTGTGGCTCTTCTTCTCTGAAAACATGTTAAATCATATTTGATAACTGTATTTTATAACTGTGCATGTATCCATATCGTAGATTGACTTTTTTAAAAAAAAATTACCTAAAAGCATATTTTTCCTTTTGATTTTTTTTTTAATTTTTAACTTTTAAAAAAATTTTTTTATTTAGTTGACAGAGAGAGACACAGCGAGAGAGGGAACACAAGCAGGGGGAGTGGGAGAGGGAGAAGCAGGCTTCCCGCTCCGATGTGGGGCTTGATCCTAGGACCCTGGGATCATGACCTGAGCTGAAGGCAGGTGCTTAATGACTGAGCCACCCAGGTGCCCCTTCCTTTTGATTTTAAAATCGACCCCCACATTCCCCAGGCCCGTGGGCGCTATGCCTAATGACAAGCCAGCCCTGCCTAGAGCCTGCAGGCCTGATGTGGATTTACCCGGGTGCATCTCGTTCACGTGTTTTCAGATACCTTGTTCTGAGCGCTAAAGGTGGGCTGACCTCTGGGACTCAGCCAGGGGATGCTGCTTTGTCCCCTGCCAGTGGTCCGAGTGCCGGGAGAGCTCAGGGAAGGGGGAACAGCATCCTGGGAGTCCTCTGGATGCCTAGGGAAGACCTCCTGCCCCCCACAACCCCCCCCCCCCGGCTGGAAGGTGGACTAGTGGGCCCCAGAGGTGTGCTGGGGATGGAACTGCGGTGGAGGGTCTTAGCTGAGGGAGGCGAATATAGTAGAGCTCAGATCTGCCTTATGCGGGGTCTGGGGTCTTCAGCACAGGGCTGGGGAACTTCCAGGCCTCTGGATAAAGCCTGACTTCTGAAGGGTGGTTTTCGGGGGGGGGGGTGGCATTTTTGCCCCCCAGGGGCTGTATCTTTGGTTGTCACAACTTCAGGAGGGCTCCTGGCCTCTGGTGGGTGGAGGCCCAGGATTCTGCTTGGCATCCTGCAATGCAAAGGACAGCTCCCCAGTGAAGAATCCTCTGGTCCCAGTGTCCGTGGTGCTCAAGTCGGGAGACAGGGTGCTTGATGAAAGTTTGGGGTGGGTGGATGGGTCTAATCGAACATGGGGGCACAGAACTCCCATCCAGCTTGGTGGCAGATGCTTCAAATAGGCCATCCCCTGCAGGTGTGCTGGGGCTTCTGGAACAGGATTTTAATCTGTGGTTGGTTGGTTTATGGTAAAACCCAGGCTACCCAGAGCCCCTGGAGAAATAGCCATTCTAGAGAGAATTTTCCAGGTTTCAGAGGGCTTACTCATTTAAATATTTCAATTTTTATTTTTCTAAAGTTTAACAATTTTGGATTGAAGTCTTTTTTTTTTTTTTTAAATGCTGAATACTTGACATGTTAACCCTCTCCCCTTTCTGGACATCCCAAGGTCATCGTCATTATCCACACAACTTTTGTCTTGGGCTACATGATATGGAAGTCCTCAGGGGTCATCGGGTGTAGAGCTGTTTATGATGCGCTAAATATCCCCGAAGTTCCTATGTTTGTTTGTTTGTTTGTTTTTTTTTAGTGTCCTCTTTTCTCCCTGCCATTTGATACTTCTCGCCACTGTCCACAAGCCTTCCTCCTCTCTCCTTTTACTTTTGTTGATTTTATTCCGTGGTGGCCTTGGAAACCAGACATCCAGAGACCAGGCTTGCTGGAGCCGTGCTCCTGTGCACTGGCAGTGTTCTTCCTGGGCTGAGTGTCCCCGCACCTTGTGAGGAAAGCACTTGAACTTGACGACGCATAGATGTAGTGACCGCTGTTTTGATGCTCAGAAGCTTCTCTTCCTCTGCTTCCTGGTTCTTGGTCGGGTTCCGCACTGTCGAGGGAGCAGATAAGGGATAACTGGGGCAGTTGCCATCTTCGTCATCATCAAAGTACTGTCACCAACAGGACACAGGGTTTCTGTGTTCCAGGCCTTGTCTTAACTGCTTTACATGTAACATACTCTCAGCCGTCCTGTATCTAACAGTTCAGATAACGGAATGGAAACACGGACACGTTGTATGTGCTCGACAAAGACAGCTGGTATAAAAAGTCGGGGAGCTGGGGTTTAACCCGAGCATGTCTTACCAACCAGGGCTCACTAGTCTGGAGATCACATGCTGGCTTTCTAAAGGAATGCAGCGGCAGCTGGTGAGGACTGGCCCCAGGGGTCAGGTGGCCAGACTCCGCCTGGGTCTTCTGGAGCATGCCCCGTGAAAGCACATGTCAGTTCCCCAGGGCGTGCAAGAGTGTCCCCATCTTGTAGTCGGCGAGGGAGTCCATGAACGCCACAGCTTGCGACAACCCAGAGCGGGCATCATAGCCCCCCTTTTACAGGTCAGCTCTTTCTACCGTGAAACACTGCCCAGGATAGTGGCCATCTGAGTGCACCACGCTGTGCCCGAACTCGGAGGAGACCACTGGGTCCTAAGTGCCTCACCTGAAACCCTTGTGTAGAAATATTGTAAGAGCCATTCAGTTAGGTTATCGGGACTGTAAGTGTTTGAAAGCACACAAAAGGGAAGAGAAAACGTGCAAAATTTGTTTAGAGACACACCCTCCGCACCTCTAGGTCTTGTTGGCACCTGCAGGGAAGTGGCTTCCAGGTGCCATGGTCCGAGGCCCTGTTGGCTCTGCTGTGTCCACAGGGGCTATTTGAGTCCCGGCCCTCCTAGAGCCCGTGAAGACTTGTCTCCCTGGTTACGACTCTTCCACACCCTTCTGTTCCGCGGGGCTTACCTGGCTGGACCTACCTGAGCCAGCGTGAGCCCGTGGTAGCTGGGGGCTGCTCTCCTGGCCCCCTCCACCTGAGCTGTGCACTCAGCAGAAGCCTCTCCCTGTTGTTGAGGGACTGGTGGTTTAGGAAGGTTGAAAGAGACTTAACAGGTGCTCCTTGGACAAGCATCTGGGAGAGGCTCTGTGCTTTGCGGTAAGCGGAAAGTACAGAGTCCAGCCGGTTCCTGTTCTCGGGGCACTCTGGAATGTGGCTGGTGGTGGCCTGCGTGGACAGACACGGCATGAGTCAGGGCCGCTGGGGGCAGTCCTGGAGTGGCTTTAGGCCTGAGTCATTAGGGCATACGAGGAGGGGGCCGGTGGGTAGATGAAGAGTAATAGCAGGGGTGTCAGAAACTGCAGGTTCTGGTGGTGGCTCTCCCCCCTTCTCACTCCCTCACCAGACGTGGCCTGACTCGGGGATCTCTGGCAGTAGTTTAAAAAAAACGGACCCAATCTGTGCCATTTTAGGCCACAGATGATGAAGACCTTCACCTGGAGGTTCTGGTGGGTGAAGCTGGGAGGTCTTTCTAGGGGAGAATGATGGCTCCAGAAGAACTTAAGCTCATTTCGTGGTGAGAACTTTGCAGACACGTTCCTCCTTCCGTGCTCCTCGGCATCGCTCCGGATGGAGGCAGAACCCACTAGACCTCCCAGGAGTTTTGCTGGAGTCAGAGGGCCCGTGTTCCCATGCCAGATTTGTGGTCTCCGTCTCAGTGTGCCCTGACTTGCGCATCTGTCAAAGTTGGGGTAGCGCCCCACCCGTGGGTTGCCGCAAAACTGAAATTGGTAGTCTCTGTAAATTGCTTAGCACCATTGCGTGGGTATCCGTCATCTCCATCTTCAGGGCTTCGGACCGTCCCTGGGGGCCCCACCGCTCTGGAAACAGCACCTAGAGTTCTCCTTCCCTTCCTTTCTCTGCAGACAACGGCGACGAGCCCTCTGAAGGAGGCCTGGTTGAGAACCACGTGGATGGGACCGTGAACCTCTTGGGCGGTGGAGGTGGCGCTGGCCGGAAGCCCCTCAAGTCAGGCATGAAGGAGTTGGCGGTGTTCCGGGAGAAGGTCACCGAGCAGCACCGGCAGATGGGCAAGGGGGGCAAGCATCACCTTGGTCTGGATGAGCCCAAGAAGCTGCGGCCACCACCTGCCAGGGTCAGAGGGGCCGGGTCTGCTCGGAGGGGTGGGAGGTCTCTCGGTGGGGGAGGGCACCAAGTACCATCCGTGTCCTACTGTAGGCAAAGCACTTTCCTTTCTGGTTCTGCCACTGGCATGTTCAGGGACCTTCAGGCTCATCAGGGTCTCTTTCGGGGCCCTCAGTATCTTTGGCTGTGAAAGAGACTGGGTATCTGGGTTCTTGAAGTCCCGTCCTTCTGACACCTCCACGTTTCTGCTTGGCTTCAGGACATAGGCAAGGAGACAGATGCTAGAGATGGACGTGGACCCACTTGATCTTGCTCAAGCTTGCTGGGATGTGTTCCTCTCACTCGGCTGCCACCCCCCCGCCCCCCAGCTCAGCTCTGTTGTCTTGGGTCTTGGTCCTGGTTGGGCTGATGGAAAGGAATGGAGGTTGGCCCACCGGGTCGGGGTAGAGATCCTCCAGAGACCGCCACTTGAATTCACCTTTCCAAGTAGATCCCATTTTGGCCCCCGAAAGCCATTAACACAGAATGAAAGACGGGTGAAAATGCCCATCCATGTGACTTTCTTTAGGGGCTGGGGTGTAGCACGATGACATGTTAGCACTGTCGGGAGTCCCTGGTTCCACCAGCTAGCTGTGTGGCCGTGGGAACATCTCTTCCCTGCGCATGAGCTGCTTTCTGAGGTGGTACCCAGGGCCAGTGTTCCGTGAGCGCAGTCTCCCTCTGAGCATCGTCTTTGCCCGTCTGTCCCTGTCTGCGCCCACAGACCCCCTGCCAGCAGGAGTTGGACCAAGTCCTGGAGCGGATCTCCACCATGCACCTTCCAGATGAGCGGGGCCCTCTGGAGCACCTCTACTCCTTACACATCCCCAACTGTGACAAGCATGGCCTGTATAACCTCAAACAGGTGAGGGAGGAGATCCTTGGCCCCGGGCCCCGGGGCCTGAGCCCCGGCTGTACCTTGCTCCTGCACCCCCGCCCCCCATCATCCCCTGGGGTCTGAGCGCTGAGTGGGGCGTGGGGATACCAGCTACCAGGCCTGTCGGAGGCTGACTCTACTTCCTGGGCTGTCTGCCATCAGCCCTTGGTGTCTAGCTTGGGCGGGAGCCCCTGGGAGAAGCGATGCTTCTTACTGTTTTATTGAGCATTAGAATCGCCCGGCAGGGACTCCTGGGCCTTACCATTCCAGAACCAAGAGTTTGCGTTTCTAACAAACTCCCAGGGATTGCTGATGATCCGTGGAGCACGCTTCCCGAATCACTGATTTAAACCACTGACATGTTGCCTCTGCTGACCCCCCCGGGGCGGAGGGGTCTCCCTTCCCTACCTCCCTCAGCCCAGGCAGGCATCTTGCCCCTCGAAATATCAGTCTAGTTCAAAGCCGTGTGTACACGTGCCCTCTAAGTGTAAGCCGACTACTGCATTTGGAGCTCAAAAGAAGAAGTAGTGGTCTCTGCTAATGAAGAACAGGCTGTGCCCTGTCCCTTCCTGGTCACTAGAGGGATTTTCCATGGTCATTAATTAGTTTATGGGGAAGAGCAGGGACCTTGGGACAGGAAAATTGGCTGGATTCTGCATCTCAGCTAGCTGTGTGACATTGGGCAAGTTACTTAACCCATCTGTGCTTCCTTCTGATCCTCTGTAAAGTGCTGAAATCATGGTACCTGATCCACAAGGCGGTTGTGCGGATTAAATGAACGTGTATGCTAGATAAAAACGGTAGGGGATGCCAGCTGGCTCAGTCGGAAGAGCATGCTACTCTTGATCTCAGGGCTGTGAGTTCGAGCCCCACGTTGGGCATAGAGCTTACTTAAATAAATACATAAATAAACTTAAAAAATGAGAGCTAGAGACTGTAAGTGAGCAGCGTGTAGATGACTCCCACAGTGCAGGGCCCATACTAGGGCCCATGCTGGTGTTGACTTCTACCATTACATGCGGTTTTCACTTCACACTATAACAAACCCCGGTCTGCTGGGTCCCCCGCTGGGTGGGACCTCCCTGCAAGTGGGCATGGAGTCTTTTCAACTCGGGGCATCCCCCAACACCTAGCTAACGTGGTCTGTGGGCCAGGAGCACCTGCGTCACGTGGGAGCTTGTTAGCTCAGTGGTTTCAGCCCTGCTCCAGACCTACTGAAGGGGAATCTGCATTTTAGCAAGATCCCTGGTGCATGGTCAGGATTTCGGTCAGGGTTTCGCAGCACTGCCCTGCAGGGCTAGTTTGCACGCCCTGGAGCTGTTCAGCAAACCTCAGGCTGAGTGAAGGGAAGGAGAGGCGCTGGCTTCAGGGCTGTCCTCCACGTCCTTCTCTTCTCTCCTCAGTGCAAGATGTCTCTGAACGGGCAGCGTGGGGAGTGCTGGTGTGTGAACCCCAACACTGGGAAGCTGATCCAGGGAGCCCCCACCATCCGGGGGGACCCCGAGTGTCATCTCTTCTACAACGAGCAGCAGGAGGCCCGTGGGGTGCACAGCCAGCGGATGCAGTAACCCCCAGCCGGCCGGTGCCGGGCACCCCCCGCCCCCACCCCCTCTCCAAACACTGGCAGAGAGAGGAGAGCCTTGCGTGGTGGGTGGGGAGGGTTTTCCAGGAGTGTTGACATGTGTATTTATATTTGGAAAGAGACCAGCACCGAGCTCGGCACACCCCCGCCTTCCCCCTCCCCAGCGGGAGCTGCCTGCACCCTCGCCTTCTCCTGTCCCAGCTGGGGAGGAAGGGTGCTTGCAGGGGTGGAGCTGGGGGAAAGGCTTGGGAGGGGGGAAAAAGAAATTTTTATTTTTGAACCCCCGTGTTTCTTTTGCTTAAGATTAAAGGAAGGAAAAATAAACCGTGTGTCTTTTGCCTGAGTCTTTGGGGCTTCCCTGGGAAAGAGATCCGGGGCCTGCCTGTCTCGTCTGTCCAGCTCTGTCCCCGACTCCTGGGAACAGGGCCTGGGAAGGGGCAGGCATGGCTTTGGTTGGGTTGGGAATGAGAAGGATGGGTCAGGAGGAAGGGGAATGTCCTTCCTCAAGTGGCCTTGGCTTAGGGAAACTTAAAAGACCCCAGTCCAGGCAAAATCCTCCAGTAAAACCACAGGAATCTGGTGTCTCCCCCTGGACTCCCAGCTGAATGAAGCTCGTGCCCCTGGGTTGCCCCTGGGTGGGCACTGAGGGAGGAGAGGTAGAACGAGTGCCTTTCTCTCTCCCAAGCTCAGGTGCATGGCAGAGGGAGGCAGAACAGGGAGACCCTGGAATTGTGGTCCTCTGGCCCCTAAAATAAGGAGAGCTCCCTTCTGTGCGGGGGTGGGGGGGGTGACAGCCCTAGGGCCTCAAGGAAAGGGAGCGGGGCTGGTGTGCGCCAGCGTGTTCACAACAGTGTTGCCTGAGAATTCAGGTGCTGCTCCAAGGGGCCCGAGTAACTGGCTTCTAGAACAGCAACGTTGACAAAGACGGACTACACATGCGCAGATGTAGGCCCTATTTCTGAAGCAGACTTCTATGTGAGAGCTCAACCCACTGTGTTCCGGGGGCCCCTAACCCCTGGCGAATTGCAGGGGGCTCCCTGACGGTGCGGTGGGCCACTGGGAAAGGAGTGCTCCACTCCCTCCTCTCCCTAGCACAGGGCACAGAGCCCCACCTTTCACGGTAGCCCCTCTTCCGTGTCTGGAGTCTGACCCTTTTCTGCCGGGGAGGCGAAGGAAGGTGGCTCTGCTCCACCCATATCCTCCTGACCTTCCTTCTAGAGGCAGAGAGACACTTGGGGCCCTCACGGGTGGTGGTGATGGTGGTGGTGGCGGTGGGGGATGAGCTTCTCCCCTTAGAAGAAAACCAGGTCCCCCGAAGCAGACCTGCCCTAGCCAGAGTGCTCTAGGTCGCACCAGGCCAAGGCCAAGGCCAGCCGGCCATTTGGTCATTTAGCTAGGCCATTTGGTCTGCTGCTCTGGAAGTGAGTTAATTCAGTTACTCCTCATGAATCCATAAAGGAGGCACTATTAGCTTTACTTTACAGATGAAGAGAAAAGTCTACAGAGGTGCCCAACCTCCATGGCCCAGGCTGGGACCCCTAACTCCAGAGTGTGGGTGCTGCTCAACCCTGAGTTATGCTGCCCTCTCTGGGCGGAAGCAAGGCGGGCTGCCTGGAGAGAGCGTAGGGCACTCTGGACATGGGTTGGATCTGCCCCCTGTGGGTCAGCCATCCCTCCCTGGGCTCTGATTCTCTTTCATCCATGGGTGAGGGTGCTCCTGCCACCCCTCTCTGTGCCCCTCAGCTGTAGCCCGGAGCTGGTGTCTGCTGTCTGGGGACGGGGCAGCTGGTGCTGGCTCACCCCGCAGGTGCAGCAGTTCTCAACCTTGGCTGACACTGGAGTTGACTGGGGCACTTAAAATACTCATGTCAGTGCCCCACCATCGGAGAGTCTGATCTGACTGGCCTGGAGTGGAGCCCAGGTAGGATGGTTGGTTGGTTGGCTGGTTGGTTTTAAGGTTCCCAGGTGATTCTCATGCCGAGCTGGGCAAGAGGAAATGCTGGAGTCAGGACACCTGGTTTTGAATCCTGTTCCACCGCTTGCTGTTTTATGGCCCTGGAGCTACATAACTCGCCTTATCTGAGACTCAGTTTTCCTCATCTGTCTAATGGGGATGATCTCAGCCTCAAATAGCAGGGTGATATCAATGTGAGACTGTGGATGTGCTTTGAAAACTAGAGGACCTTATAAAATGGGAGGGGTATCATGGGGCCGTTGCAGGAGTAAACACCATGCCAGCCCCCATGCCCCAAGGCTTCCGACTCGGTCATCTCTGTAATATTTTTGCAGAGTGCTTCTGAGGACATCACAACCTCCTTGCCTGTTTCTATGTCACTTGCCCACAGCCTCCCTGTCCTCTAAACCCTCTGAAGAGGAGGACTTTGTGGGTGTACGAGCAAGCACTCCGCGGTAGCTCTACCTACAGGAACCCCACTGACGGATGGATAGTATGCCCTCGAAACCTTTGCTGACGGAAAACATTGCATCCAAGTGGGAAGATGGCTGGGCAGGGATCTTGAGGATGTCAAGCCCGCTGGAGCCTTCTGGAACTGCCTGGCTGTGGGCAAACACTGGAGCTATACTGCCACCTTAGGGCAGCACAGGGAACTGCAGCTGAGTTTACCCTGGCCCTCCGAGGGTCATTTTTGCTTAAGCCGTGGTCCCAGGAGTCCACTGTGGGTGTTAAACTTGCAGAAGCAGGGGACCTGTCGTTGCAGGCTGCCTGAGCTAGAAGCTTGGGAAGGCATCTGGGAATCTGCACTGGGGCATGCCCTCTGGGCAATTCTAATGCATGGAATCACCCAATTTCTCTGTGACCCAATTTGTAGAAATCAGGGCACCTTCAGAACCCCTTGTTCAGAAATTATTAAGAATGTCAAGACAGCGACAGCAGAGCATTAAGCCAAGCACAGGTCCTGCGTGACTGCATGGGATGCATGCCTGGGAAGCCGGCCCTGTTCTTAAGCCCTCTGGATTTGGAGGGCCACCACTTGCAGTGACCACGGGTGTTAGACGCATCTTGAGTACTGGCTCCATTTGATGTGGTAGGTGAGAGCATGAGCCTGGAGGTAGGGCAGTCTTTGGACAGAATTTGGGCTCTACTACTTATGACTTACTCGACTTTGGACACATTCCTAACCTCTGAGCCTCATCTACTTCATCTTTAAGTATTGAGATAATTTCTATTTCAAAGAATTGCTTTGAGAATATAAAATCACTTCTGTGATATAGTAAGTGCTGCCTCAATGGAATTAGTCCTGCCTCCTAGGGTCCGTGGTCGGGTTTTAGGATGTGAAGATGAAGTAGACTGTGGTCCCCGTCCTGAAGGGCTGACACTGGAGTGGACAAAACAGCCACGGAAGTCCACCCTGACCAGGGGACAGAGGTGTGCCCAGGTGCCCTTAGGAGGAATATCTGCACAGATATTGTCCCACAGGGGCTGCAAAGACAGTTGTAAGGGGGAAGCAGGGACGTGGAAGGGGAGGATTTGGGATGTGTGTGGGGGAGGTGGGGTTCAGGCAGAGAGAGCACGAGCCACTCGCGGGCTTGAGGCTCCCTGTGATGGAGGGAGGGTGTGGATAGAGAAGCAGCTGGAGAGGAAGGCGGAGGAGAGCTCGTCAGGAAGGACTTTGGGGGTCTTGCTGAGAGGTTTCCGCTTTGGACTGAAAGGACAGCATTTAAGCAGAGGACGGACCTGGCCGGATCTGTGTTTCAGACGGCGAATCCCTACTGTGATATCTGCGAGGAGGACCTGGCAGGAAGGAATGGCAGTGATCCAGGTGAGAAAGGAGTGTGATTTGGACGAGGCAGGGCAAGTGGGGAGCAAGGTCAGATGGGAGAGTTTTCCACGAGGCGGCTGATTCCCGGGACCTGGGCGCTCGCTGGAGGTAGCAGGTAAATGAGGAGTCTGCAATGACAGTAGGGGTCAGGCTGCTGCTGCAATGACAGTAGGGGTCAGGCTGCTGCTGCAATGACAG